AAGGGTGTTAATAAAGTCTGATTATCTGGTTGGTTTTCACTTTTGGTGATCATAGATGATAATTACCTACCTAAATTTATTAAATCATCAGGGGTTTTTGTATGTTTGACTTAGTGTTTATTACTCTCAACCTTCCTTGTATTGGAGTTTCTGTTGTTTATCCTTGGTTACTGTTCCGCACTTTCCTTAAATGCTTCTGTTTCTTTATATATGTGTTGTTTTATGTTCCTCAAGTTTCCATCTTGGGAAACTTTGTGTATTTTCTCACTTTGTATACTCCCTGGATAATCTTCTTTGGTTTAGCTACCTCTTCTACTTTAATTTCCCAGAATTTTCAGTGCAGGTCTTTATTCGAAGCTCCAGAACCACACACAAGATAGCCAGGTATCTTGTAACTCTTATCTAGGCTGCTGAATCATCCTATTCTTTTGGTTTTCTTCTACTTCAGTGTCTGCTGCTTATCGTTCTGCTCATCTAGCTTCCCTTGAAGGACAGTGCAGAAGCTATCTGATCTTGAATGTAGGCACTTTTTGGTAGTTGGTCCTTGTTCCTTTTCCTCTTACATTCCATGTTTAAATACCATTCTCTATTCCGATTAATTCCAAATGTTTATACTTCAGTCTTTCAGATTTAAAATATATAGAATCGAGAAGACCTTGGCTGATTTTGTGGAAAGTCCTGAAGGTAGAATAACTACTCAGATCTGTGTTTTGTTAGGGTGTGAGGGCTGTATCTCTATACTTCCCAACACAGTCTTTGGATGTGAGTTTCCATGGGAAGGTGGTATGACCATGGGTGAAGCAACTCTCTTCAGCGGATGCATTCTGCATAAATGAGGGCTGTCAGGTGGTGGCATTTCCAGCAGCTCAAGTAGTAAGTCCTTTTTTTTTAACCATTTATTTATTTACTTATGGCTGCATTGGGTCTTAGCTCTTCATTATGGCCTGTGGGCTTCTCTCTAGGCGTTTTGTGTGGACTCCAGAGTGCAAGGGCTCTGTAGTTGTGGCATGCAGGCTCTCTGATTGGGGTGCGTGGGATCAGTCGTTGGAGCTTGTGGGCTTAGTTGCCCCTCGACACTGGCATCTCAGTTCACCAACCAGGGATCGAACCTGCGTCTCCTGCATTCAAAGGCAGGTTCTTAGCTGCTGGAAGTCCCAGTCATTTATTTTTAAGTGTGATCTGGTGTCACATCACAACATCTGCTACACTGCCATTTCCTCCCATCTCAAGATGGTTTGGCCATCTATCTAGCTGTTCAGTGACTTAGGAGTCATTTTTCATTCCACCCCCACTCTGTCCTTGATTCTTTTGACACATTTTCTGCCTTCAAAGTACATATCTCAAGTGTTCTTCTCCTCAAGTCAGGTCAAATGTTAGTGTCTGACTCTTTGCAACCCCGTGGACTGTAGCCTGCCAGGCTCCTCTGTCTGGGGAATTCTCCAAGCAAGAATACCAGAGTGGGCATCCATTCTCTTCTCCAGGGGATCTTCGCAACCTTGGGATCAAACCCAGGCCTCCTGCATTGCAGGCAGATTCTTTACCATCTGAGCCACCTTTTCCTCCTAGCCCCCTGTCAATGACACCTTTCTCTTTCTTCTCCCCTGGTCTCCCAAGTGGTTTCCTTACCTTTAATTTTGCCCATCGCCAGGCTCTGCCACATGGCGGAGAGTAGTCCTCTATATCTTAATCATATCTGTCTGCACTTTACCACTCTTTAAAGTCTTATCTTTGTACTTAGGATAAAAGGCCAGTTATTTACCCTAGCCAACAAGGTCTGACTGACCCTTGCCTCTGTCTGTGACCTGTCAGATTATGGGATCCTCTTTCCATCTGTGCTTCAGCTGCAGTGGTTTTCTCTCATTTCACAGGAATAGCCAAATTGTTCTCTTCTCAGGGCTTTAGCCTGTCCCTCTGTCTGGAATGACAGCTACTTTTGCCTTTCACATCCTTTTTGTCTCAGCTTAAATGTCACCTCCTCATACTGCACCTAAAGACAGAAGATTCTTCTCTTCCTTCTCATTTTTCCCCACCCCTGTGTTATAGTCTTCTTTGTTTCCTTTAGAACCTTTACTACGTTTTTAATGTTAATAGTATTTTGCTTGTTTTATGTTCTTTCGTATCTGTGTTCTTCTAGGATGTGAAAAAACCCCATTATGGCAGGAGTCATGTCCGTCTCATTCACTATTCTCAGCATGTAGCATAGCACTTGATATTTCTTGAATAAGAAAGAAAGATAGTACTAAGTCGTGTCTGACTCTTGGCAACACTATGGACTGTAGTCTGCCAGGCTCCTCTGTCCATGGCATTCTACAGGCAAGGATGCTGGAGTGGGTTGCCATTTCCTTCTCCAGGGTATCTTCCTGACCCAGGAATAGAATCCAGGTCTCCAATATTTCAGGCAGATTCGTTACCAACTAAGCTGTGTGGGAAGCCCTTGAATAAATGTAATAAGTTCTTTTTGAAAGCCTTGAGTATTGAAGTTTCCTTTTTCCTATGTTAGTAGCATAGCTCAACTCAGACTGGGAACTTGTGAATCAGCTTATATACCTTTTCCCTTGAATACTGAGGTTTCCTTTTTCCTGTTAGTAGCATAGCCCAACTCAGACTGGGGATTTGTGAATCAGCTTATATACCTTTTCCCTTAGTTCTTTCCCCTAATCCATTCAGCTGCTGTGTTCTGTCAGTTTAAACTTTCATCTTTCATAATTAAAATCATTAATAATCTCTTGCCCCATCCCACTCCCATCAAGCACCATCTTAATTCTTTTGTATCATCACACATAATTGGTCTTTGTAAAAATATATTATAACCATTCATTTTTTGCTTAAAAATTTTGAGTTTTTCATTTTTGTTTACAGGGTACATGAGTTTCCTAGCTTTATTTACAGGCCCATCTGCCTTTTACCTTCTTCTCCACTGTCATTTCCAGCCAGGCCTCCCCTTGTACACAATGGTCCAGTAGCACTGATCAAATAGGGTCATTCTGAATAATCTGATGTTCTGTGCCTCCACGTCTTTGTCATGTTCTTCCACCCTTCACCTTCCCCTTGGAAAACATATTCAGCCTTAAAAACCTGCCCTGATATTAATCTCATCTGTATTCAATATCTGATACAAATCACCACTGAATATAATATATTATCATAATCACTTAATTGCCTGACATGCTTCCTAGACTGAATTCTTTGTGGTCACAGGTGTCTTATTACCTTGTATGCCTATTATTTAATATGGAATCTCACACATAGAAGATGCTTAGTATTTTTTTTTTTTTCCTGAGTATGCAGAACTTTATTTTATCTTTTTTTTCTTTTTTTTTTTTCATTTATTTTTATTAGTTGGAGGCTAATTACTTTACATCATTGTAGTGGTTTTTGTCATACATTGAAATGAATTAGCCATGGATTTACATGTATTCCCCATCCCAGTCCCCCCTCCCACCTCCCTCTCCACTCAATCCCTCTGGGTCTTCCCAGTGCACCAGGCCCGAGCACTTGTCTCATGCACCCAACCTGGGCTGGTGATCTGTTTCACCCTAGATAATATACATGTTTCAATGCTGTTCTCTTGAAACATCCCACCCTCGCCTTCTCCCAGAGTCCACAAGTCTGTTCTATACATCGGAGTCTCTTTTTCTGTTTTGCACATAGGGTTATCGTTACCATCTTTCTAAATTCCATATATATGTGTTAGTATACTGTAATGGTCTTTATCTTTCTGGCTTACTTCGCTCTGTATAATGGGCTCCAGTTTCATCCATCTCATTAGAACTGATTCAAATGAATTCTTTTTAATGGCTGAGTAATATTCCATGGTGTATATGTACCACAGCTTCCTCATCCATTTGTCTGCTGATGGGCATCTAGGTTGCTTCCATGTCCTGGCTATTATAAACAGTGCTGCGATGAACATTGGGGTGCACGTGTCTCTTTCAGATCTGGTTTCCTCGGTGTGTATGCCCAGAAGTGGGATTGCTGGGTCATATGGCAGTTCTATTTCCAGCTTTTTAAGAAATCTCCACACTGTTTTCCATAGCGGCTGTACTAATTTGCATTCCCACCAACAGTGTAAAAGGGTTCCCTTTTCTCCACACCCTCTCCAGCATTTATTGCTTGTAGACTTTTGGATAGCAGCCATCCTGACTGGTGTGTAATGGTACCTCATTGTGGTTTTGATTTGCATTTCTCTGATAATGAGTGATGTTGAGCATCTTTTCATGTGTTTGTTAGCCAGAAGATGCTTAGTATTAATAAGTTGTTTCTAAATGAAATCTAATTAAACCATTCATTTTAACAGATGAGGAAAATGAGGCATAGAGTGATAAGTCTTACCAAAGGCCATCCACTAGTTTGGTTAAAAGTAATCATTAGTGCTATTTGCATATTATAGGCCCTATACTTACCTACCTCTTTTTTTTGTCTTTTGTTTTGTTTTTTACGAGCAAAATTGAAGTGAAGTGAAGTAAAGGTCACTCAGTTGTGTTTAACTCTTTGTGACCCCATGGACTGCAGCCTGCCAGGCTCCTCTGTCCATGGAATTCTCTAGGCCAGAGTACTGCAGTGGATAGCTGTTCCCTTCTCCAGGGGATCTTCCCACAACCCAGGGATCAAACCCAGGTCTCCCACATTCTTTACCAGCTTAGCTACCAGGGAAGCCCAAGTTAACAAGGTTACTGTGGTTAAAACTGGACGCTGAAGTCCAACTGGTTTTGATTCTTGATTCTGCCACACATTTTGACCTTGAGTAAGTTCCTTAACCTCTTTAAGCTTCAGTTTCCTCAGCTGTAAGATGGTAATAATCATAATTCCTTTACAATATTATTTTAAAGAGTAAATGAGATAATCTGAGTAAAGGGTTTAGAACAATGCTCAGCACAGAGTAAACAGCAAATGTAGTCATTATTGTTACTATTATCATCTATCAAAGTTTACTGGCCACAGTGCCTCCTGGAAAAGGCATGAGATTTAGTTATTACAAGCTGGTTCTGGTTCTCTTATAGGCAAGCTGACTGATAGAACAGCAAGCATTTTCCAAGGCAACCAAATGAAACTGAAGCTGGTCAACATTCAGAAAGCTAAAATATCCACAGCTGCATTCCTAAAAGCCTTCTGCCATCACAGACTCATTGAACTGGATGCTACTGCAGCACGCACTGACCTCTCAATCCCAGACATCCTCAGTGGGCTCTGCAGCAATAGCTGGATCCAAGAAAACCTCCGACGTCTCGTCTTGGACTCAGCAAGCATCCCTCGAGATTCAAGAATGTTGTTCTTTGGTCAGCTCACTGGTCTTCGCGTTTTAAGCGTTTTCAATGTTTGTTTTCATAGTGAAGACCTGGTTAATGTTTCGCAGTTACCAAAACTGGAAAGCTTGGATATCTCTAATACTCTGGTCACTAACATCTCTGCACTCCTTACCTGTAAGGATCGACTCAGATCTCTTACAATGCACTATCTAAAATGTCTGACCATGACCAAACCACAGATTCTCGCAGTCATTAGAGAACTTAAATGTCTGCTTCACCTTGATATTTCTGATCACAGGCAACTCAAGTCAGATCTAGCTTTTCATTTGCTACAGCAGAAAGATATTCTGCCCAATATTGAGTCCCTGGACATTTCTGGGGGTAGTTACATCACTGATGGAGCTGTAGAACTATTTATACAACAACGGCCTGCGATGCAATTTGTGGGACTGTTGGCTACAGATGCTGGTTATTCTGACTTCTTTTCTGCAAAGGAAGGCTTGAGGGTTCGTTCTTTTCTGAAATAAGTTTGTTTCACTTGTTCAAAACATTATTAAGCTTTCTTTGTGTCTCAGAATCTGTATTAGGCATTCGAGTTACAAAGACAGATTAAAAATTCTTAAGGAGCTTAATGATTAAGAATTATTGTGTAGCTACTATGTGGTATGAAGTTGTGGAAATATAACCTTAAACACGATACAGCCCTAACCTCCAATGTCTTCCAGTCTAGCTTGATAACGATAAGCAGAGCCATTTATACATTACCTCTTATGTGCCAGTTGTCATGTTTTGCACACTGTTTTCTATTTTAATCCACCCATTTTACAGATGAGGAGGTTAAGCTCTTTATCCACAGTCATAGAACTGTTAAATGATAGAGCTGGGTCTTACATCTGGGTCTTTGTGAAACTAATGCTCTTACCTCAGTAACAGCTAAATATAATGAAGAAGGCAGGTGAGGTATGCCTAACGTCGTTTTTGATAAAGGTATGACAAAACGCAATTTTTAAAAGACCCTGAAGGAAAAAGTATTGTACATTGCTAGACTATGTTTATAGCCTCTCATGGTGCTGTTTTTAAAAGAGCATATATTTAAATATTTATGTTCTAGAATACTTCTTAAAAACAGTGACTTTCTATCTCAGCTGTACATTGTAATCACTTTGGAAGTTTTAAAATACACTGATGCGTGTGGCCTATTCCCTAGAGATTCCGATGTAACTGGACTGGGATTTGGCCTGGGCATTAAGTAATTCTCATGTGGAGCCAAAGTTCAGAACGGCAACTTCAAAAGAACCCTTTAAAAACAATGATTTTTGTAATTTTTACTAGGGTGAGAGTAAAGTGATTTTCAGTCATTAGTTGTTTTCATATTTTATTCTTTTGATTTAAAAATAGCAATTGTGTCTTAAAGTTTTTTAATTTTAAATAACTTTTTAATGAAGCCATGAAGCTATCAGTTGTATCATTAGGCTACAAATAGAGAGATAATTTGAACTTTCAGGTTAAATGTGTATAGTAGAGAATTGTTTACAAAGAATGTACACCTAGGCCTGTCTCAGATTAATGGCACTTAGTGTCACAGTGATCAAAAGAACCACAGCAGTTTAAAAAAAAATTTTTTTTAAACACATCAATTCATGATATAGATAGTAATATTGCCAAGTGCTAGAATATTCTGTAGAGAGATTATACATGTAGTTAAGATACTGTCAAAGCCAGTACACCAAAAGAAAATGAGATGTTTCTTTTCAGTAAACTTTATCTGGTACACATGTAAGTTTAGTTTATTTTGAAATTGTTAAATAATGCATTGTATACAGTGTTGGATATTTTGGGGGAAGGAGAGGAGAGACCAAAATCTTCCCAGTACTAAGAAACTCTAAAGATCTTAATCCAGACTTAGTGGAGTGTAAGGTATGGTAAATTTAGAAGGTGTGTTTCAGAAAATCTTATATTTAAGAGAAATATGTATTTTTCAAATCAGATGCAAAATATACTAAGCATTTTTGTTGTTAGGGTTGCTCAAAAGTTTGTTTAAAATGGATAAAATTAAGTGTTAGTGAAAACCTTCTAACAGAACAGGTATGTGTTATTTTCTTGTACCCAATGTTAGAGTGGGCAGTGTGTACTTAATTTCTTTAAATGGGTGGAAAGGGCACCCTCCATTAGTCCTAAGAGCCATATAACATTTTCATTTGGTAGGAAATCCTTGCTGATCCACTGGAGGGGTGTCTCAGGAATGAGAATTGTTTTATACTGGCATCTGTAGGAAACCCTGGAGAGAGTGGGTGATGCAACAGCTATCTGGTCTTCTGCTTAGTCTTACAATGGCTTATCCTATGTTTTCCTTTCAGCTCTTACATCTAGATTATCACAAAATCTAGACTATATCCATTGTGTAGATTGTTAATAATGTGTAGATCCTTGCGCAGTTGATCTGCATATAGTACTTGAAAACTGTTTTGAAATAGTTTTTAATGTGGCAGATCAGTAACTTTAAACATTTTGCCAAATATTCTTACCCTATTCTCTCTCTATACACGCAATTTTTAATACACCCACCCACCTAGGTCGTAGTTGCAGAATGTGGGATCTTTAGTTGTAGCATGTGGGATCTACTTCCCTGACTAGGGATCAAACCCAGGCTCCTTGCATTGGGAGTGCAAAGTCTAGCCACTGGACCATCAGGGATGTCCCACACACATTTTTCTTGAGTGTAGGTTGCATACAACATGCCCTTCTGCTCATTAATAAACTTTAGTTTGTATTTCCTAGAGGAAAGATAGTCTTTTTGACTCTTCTGAGAGCAAAGGTAATCTCAAGGATGACCATAGTGCAACTGTCAAATTTCAGGAAATTCAACATTGATACAATACTTTTATCTAAAAATCTACTGTACGTGTTTCCAGTGTTGGTTTTCCCAGTTTAACATTGTTTATAAAATATTGTTCCTTTTAGTCCATGATTATTTTTACATTCAGTTGTCATATGTGTGCTTAGTCATGTCCAGCTCTTTGTGACCCCATGAACTGTAGCCTGCCAAGCTCCTCTGTCCACAGAATTTTCCAGACAGTAATAGTGGAGTGGGTTGCCATTTCCTACTCCAGGGGACCTTTCCCACCCAGGGATCAAACCAGCATCTCCTGCATTTCCAGGCTGCCTGGAAAGCCTCAGTTGTCATAGTCCTTCCTTTTCTTCATTACATTGATGTTTTTGAAGAATACAAACTAACATTGTTTTGTTTGCTTTTTTGAAGAATGTTCCTCATCTTGGGTTTGTCTGATGCTTCATCATAATTCAGATTCTTTCAAGTCTGCCCAGAATACCACATAAGAGATATTGTGCCCTTCAAGTGTATTACAATATGAAGCACAGAGTGCCCCTCATTGGTGATGTTAATTTTCATCACTTGGTCAAAGTATTGTTCAGGTATTATGTAAAATATCCAGGCGCAGATAAAATATTATCTGTATACTCTTGTACTGTTTCTGCCCTACATAGATAATACTATTCCTTTTGAAACTAATGAGTGATGTATAAGATATTAGAAGACTATGCCAATATCCTGGCCCTCATCAGACTTTCTGATCTTATAGCATCCATTGATGATTCTTACCTGAACCATTCTAACACATCCTCAGTACGAACTCATTGATTCCTGTTGTTTTCAATGATTTATAATGCATTGCTATTCTTTTTTTTTTTTTTTTTGCATTGCTATTCTTAATTGGATGCTCAGTTTGTCACAGGGGGGCCAATGAGAGCTCCTTTGTCTGTTTTTACATGCCCCCATTATTACTGTTACTATTTTGAGTCCTTCTTTACTTCCTAGGCTTCTTATACTTCCCTGTTTTGGCCTTAGAGTTAGACATTTCTCCCAAGAGCCCTGGTTCCTTTTACTAGGAAACCACTGTCTGAGTGCTAGGGTGTTTTTAAGCCGTTTCATCAAGCAGAGCTAAGAAACAGATGAAGTTTAAAAGTGATACTTAACAAATGTCCATCTTTATATTGTTCTTCTTTACTTTTCCACATTCTGTGTTTGTACCTCTCTTTTCCATATGGAGAACCTTGGCTTCCAACAGCCTCAGCACATTTTCCTTAATCTTATAACACATATTAAATAGTTTCGGATTTGCTTCATCTATACTACTTTGAAACACAAACCTACTAAAAAAGAGTTGAAGATATATTTGCAGTTCTTTCTTTTCACTCTGGACTGAGAGTATAGTCAAAGTATTAAGCCGTATATATTTAGGTTTTTAAATTTCCACTTCTTACACAGTAGGTAGCATAGTACATGTACTCTGTACTTTGCTTTTTTTACTTGGTGGTATGTCTTGGAAATCACCCCATGTCAGTTCATGTTCCCATTTTTGGGGAGGGGATGGTAAAATACATGTAAAATTTTTCATTTTAATCTTTTTAAGTGTATAGTTTAGTGGTTTTAAATACATTAATAATTTTGTTCAACCATCACCATCATTCATCTCCATAGCTCTTTTCACCTTGTAAAGCTGAAATTCTGTAGGCATGAAACACTGACTCCCATTACCCCTTCTCCCCGGACCCTGCAAGTACAAACTTCTACTTTGTGTCTCTATGATTTTGACCAACTCTCTCATGTAAGTGGAGTCGCACAGTACTTGTCCTTTTGTGACTGGCTCATTTTACTTTACATAGTGTCCTAAGGGTATGTCCATGTGGCATACTGCCTTTTTCAGGTTGAATAATAACCATTATGTGTATACCACATTGTGCTTATCCAATTGTCATTAATATGTACTTAGGTTACTTCTATGTTTTGGCTATTGTGTTGATTATTGTGAGTAATGTTGCTGCAAGTAGGAGTACACAGATATCTCTTTGAGACTCTGCTTTTTTTTTGATCACTCTGAAGCTTCTGGGATCTCAGTTCTTTGACCAGGGATTGAATCCAGGCCTCTGCAGTGAAAGCCCAGAATCCTGATCACTAGTCCACTGGGAAACTCCCAAGACTCTGCTTTTGTTTCTTTTGGTTTATACCCAGAAGTATATACTAGAATGGACATGAGTTTGAGCAAGCTCCGGGAGATAGTGAAGGACAGGGAAGCCTGGTGTACTGCAGTCCATGGTGTCACAAAGAGTTGGACATGACTTAGTGACTGAACAATGAGCAATCCAGAAGTGGAATTGCTGGATCATATGGTGTGAAAGTGAAAGTTGCTCAGTCGAGTCTGACTCTTTGCAACCCCTTTGGAATTCTCCAGGCCAGACTACTGGAGTGGGTAGCCTTTCCCTTCTCTAGGGGATCTTCCCAACCCAGGGATCAAACCCAGGTCTCCCTCATTGCAGGTGGATCATATGGTAATTCTGTTAATTTTGGGGGGAACTACCATAATGTTTTCTGCAGCAGTTGCACAGGTTTTACATTCTCACTAACAGTGCACAAGTGTTGGAATTTCTTCACACACTGGCCAACACGTATTATTTTCTGTTTTAAAATTTTTTAATGGTAACCATTCTA